CTGGAGGTGCAGCAGCAGCGTCACCAGCCCATTCAGGATCTGCTCAAAGAAGACTTCGCAGTTGCCTTCGCTGAACTTGGTCAGGTTGCCGAAGAGCACGATGGACGACTGGCGGAGGTCAGGCTGCTCCTGTGGGCAGAGGGGACGAGCAGGATTCAGTGGGAGCTGACCTGGGCTGGGCATCTCCCGCCTCGGGGGACGCACCTGGCAGTGCTGCTCCCACCACCCACCACCTCACTTCTCAGGTTGGAGGGCATCAGAGCAGCGAGAGAAACGCTGCCGTCTGTCCTGAACGCTCAGCACCTCCTTCCCAGGCTGCCCCGGGTCCTCAGTTACAGGACCTCAGCTTTTTTTTTTGTTTTTGAAAACCATTTTAGACGATTCTTCGCCAGGAAATAACAAAACCACCCATGGGCTGAGGACAGGCTCTGCTGAGGGTGTAAATTCACTCCCTCCCACCTAATGACTACAAAAACACAGCCCCCCGCCTCTTCATCCCAAATTTCAGCCACCATCATCCCTGTTCGCTCCTGTTGGTCCAGAACCACCCACCAGCTGGCAGGGAGCACCCAGGAGGTGCTGGGGACCGAGCTCAGGGACAGGGGTCTCCATGCTGCACCCTCCAGCTCTTCAAAGGGGCAGAGCAGTCGCACACAGCTGGGGAGGGAGCTGGGGAACTCCTGGCCGCAGTTCTGCTCAGACCAGAGGGAGCAGCAGAGAAGATGACACCCACAAAGCTGGAGCGTGGGGTGCAGCAAGGGCCTGGCCAAGGGGGGATGCTCCCAGCGGGACAGCAGCAGCTCAGTGCAGGAGCAGAGGACAAGGCTCAAGCCCAGGGACAGGCTGCAAGCTGAGCAGGAGAAGCATCAAAGCATCAAGCTTCCCTGTGGTGATGCTGGAGGGGTTTTGGGGATGAACAGAGACTGCTAAAGGCAGCAAACCCCCCTGGGACAGACACCCACAGAAGACTTCCCTGCTCCCCCCGACCTCGCTCTGCCCTTGCTCCTACCCCAGGGCACCCACGTAACCCAGCTCTGACTCAACCCCACGCCCAGAGCTTCCTGCTACCCGGGAGGAGTCGAGGTCCAAGCAGACAACACAACGGGCACCTCCGCCTCCCAACCGTGCTGTGTCCTTACGCAGCCTGTGCTGAGCTCCCAGCTGGGGACGGGGTGCCCCGACCCCCTTCCTCGGGCTCCGCCGCGCTGCATGCACCCGGGCACGTG